GGTCAAGAGAGAATCTTCCGTCCCGAGAGAAAACGTATATCACTCAACTCCGCGAAAAGGTGCTTCCAAGCGGTTCGCCTAGTAAAAAAATATCGATCGATCGTTTGATCCTTTTGGCATGGCATTTCAAAGCACAATACTCTTGGAGGTTTTCTCGTTTCTGGCTCTTTTCTTCATACTTCATTATTTTGTGAAGTTTTCATTCATGCCTTCTGCTGTTGTAATTCTAGAAACTCTTAAGGGTTCGTGAAGGGTTTGTATGTTGTTGTGTTGTTTCTTTTGTTGTTGTTTCCTTAACGATGATGCATGGCAAAAGTCTCATCATCACCTGCAATTGGTGTTGTTGTACCTAAAATGCACTTGAAAGTAGTGATTGTACAGCTAGATATAGATTATAATGTTGAAGAGTTCGTTTTCACTAACAAACGTTCTAAGACGCTTCAGAGTTTGTTTCAAGTTGTTTTCTGCGCATATTAAATTTTTGTTATTATCTTGTTGAGTTAAATAAAGAAGTATGGTCGTGTTGTACTTGTTCGTTCCAGTTTGGATGAAATCCTTCGACTTTTCTGCTTTGAAAGGAATTTGGTTCCTCAGACAGATGTGTGAATTATTTAGGTCTTCTTTAGGTTTCTATACAAACTTCTTCCAATGGATTTGTGATATTTCACAACATGAGTTTCGGTGATGCTCAGGTGACGATTATTTCCGTCCTTGTTCGCTTTTGTTCTTTTCACGGTATTTGTTAGGCCCGATTCACAAAAGCACTACTCCTTTTGAGTTTCAGTGCAGCGTGTGTTAGCTTCATAGTCAAGTTTCCATTCTTTCTGGCGATAACTTTTTTCTCTTGTTATTATTGTTACAAGAACGTGCAACCTCAGAAATTCCGCAGAATTCTGCTCCTTCTAGACTGTTTTCTTATATAGGATTTGAGGTACGCAAACACTGGGATTTTTATACTGCTCTGGGAGAACGAGTGACAATGGGTTGTCTGAAAATGAATCTCGCAAAAGCCACTACCTTATAAGAATTTGATTTTATTTGCACAAATGAAATGTGAAATGTGTGGAATATGAGCTCATTTTTCAAGAGTTATCAACTTAAATATCATAAATTTTTTTTATTTTGCATTTTGCATGAAATTGAAACTGGAGGCTAGTAATGGTAGTTTTTTTTCTGTTGAAAAGCCAAATTTTCTATATTTTCTTCATTTTCTTGCTGATGTCATGCCCTTCTGTCAAAAACCTTAGACCTGCTGCATTTCAATCTTGAGGCAGTATAATGATCATGGAGCTTCCACACCTAGGTGTGATCGCCTCGCGCTGAGGTGCGAAGGAGTAAGGAACAAAGGATGCCATGAAGTCGTTGAAGCTGTGTGAGGGCGTTTTATTTCTTATAAGGGTAGTCGGTAGCCTTCCGGATGAGGCCTTTTAATTAACTTTTTCATGCTAATATACGATGTACCTCAAGGGAAAAGTTAGTGGGCTTTCGCGAACGGACCTCGAGGTAGAAATCAGTCTTCATTACAGTAAACCAGCCTTAATTAATCTTGAGGGTCTAAAAGATTTGTACTTGATGGAGAAAGCTGCGAGACGTCTCTCTTTTTTTCCACTAGATTTGAATAAATGCCCTACGTTTCGTAGCTCAAAATGGCCAGCTCTCTCTGACCTAACGGGTTAGCGCCCATCTTCTAAATATTGGCAGGATGGAAAAAATTCAGGTCAGCAGTATTCATAATAAGGTTTGAAAACAATTATAGTACATCCCCTATCAACAATCATTTTCTGGTCCAAGATATTATCATAAGCAGGAATGTATTCCACACAACAAAAAGTGAATGCAATGAGAATCGAACCTACAATAGTGTAAGGCCCAGTATTATTTGAAGGCACAGTTAACGATAATTTTGTCTAGTTTCAGACGAATAGTATAACTGGTAGTGCGAATATTGCGGAAGCGATGAGGAGCATGCAAAAATTTAGGGGAATCTAAGGCTTAAAAATTGTAAAGTCAGGGGCTAGTGTGGAATGTTGCATGGAAGAGACTTTTGGACGAGTTGTCCAAATGTGTATGCCATTACCTACAGCTGGCCACAGTAAACTGCCTACGCGCAATGTGTGTGTTCCAGTGAGAATAATTTCTCTCTACAACGCTGTGAGAACTCGTCCTTCTTCGGGAGGGCACGTCGGGTAAGACGGATTTTTGGGGTCATTATTACACCCTGTCTAAGCCGATCCGTTCTAACGGCGTTCCTTATTCTATCCTTGAGGGCCAGAGGTGCATTTAAAAAATCCTTGAGCTATTTTATCGTGAACTGTGCCCTAAATTGGCCGGTCTGCTGCTACTGCATAGCTCAATCGCTAGTCCATCACTGGAATTGATCGACAGAGTGAAGAAAACTCGTGCAACATCTCTTCGTATATTCGTGAATTCTTCAAATTCGGTTCTGCAACTTTCGCAACGCATGTGCTCTTGAAGTAGTCACGATAAGGCATCGGTGGGGAGTAGTATGCTGCAATGAACATGGAACGTATTCCGCCATTGTAAGACGTAACTACTCGGCTAAACAACATGGACAGCCTAATCCTTGAAATGTTCTACCTTCCCTTCCCTCAAGGTGTTCTATAAATGGGCCGTAATGAGGATCATAATGAGGAACCGTAAGACCTAAACGTTCGATAGACCCCTTGAATGGAACCACCGTCATTTTGGACAGGTGACAGAGTCTGGTAGTTAGAGATTGCAAAATCTTATTAGGCACAAGTTCTGTATTGAAGAAATGACTTCAAAGTCTTCGGCGTCAACCAATCCATCAGTCCCGTTTGGTATGGGCCCTACATTCGATTCTACTCAAAATTGTAGTGGTGTATTGGGCGGGTATGTGGTCTACACAAATACCTGCGGTGGGCAGCCGATGTGCAAGTCGGTGTTTTTATCCCCCCAGACAAATTTACAAGTTTGGTACAATTAGTCGGCCACTGAGGGATGGACGGCTTGATTGATCTGGGCGGATGACGATACGGGCTCAGTCATGGCGCACCGCTTGCCACCACATCATCTCAGTTCAAGTTTCCAAATACAGTCGACTAATATTACCGTATTTGGCGAGCATGGCTCCACCCAAAGCTGCTGAGTCTGGAACGTTCAAGACATAAGTGTCCATTGCAAAAACATCCGATAGTATCCTCTGCAAGTCGCGATTGGCCGATGCACCACCGGTGAGGAAAAGACGACCTGCATCCGTTAACTTTTGTTTGAGGTTTGCCAGAGAAATAAAGGCGCAACAGGACATCAGAGATGTCTACCTCTTCCAGTATTACATCCCATTGTTCTTGCGTACATTAGCTTCAGTAGCGATTGCCCTTCGAGTAGAGCTCGTGCTTCTACCTAAAATGGGTTTCTTGAGTTTTCACAAAATCTGACAGCTTGTATATTAGGAGTTTTCAGAGTTAAAATTTGGAAAGAGCTCGTTTGATTCTATGGGAACTAATAAAAGTTCAGGTGATTGTGGCAAGGCCAACCCCATTTTGATGGCCCCTGTTTAGCAAAGAACTTGATGGATGACTGAGCGTTTCTTGCTATCATTGAATATTCATTATTAAACTTTTAAGGCACCAGCGCTATTCATGATCTAAGCAGTTCTGGAAATGAGCTGTGAATATATAAATCCATCCATCCGGAATCCAGACGAATTCAACTTTTGAGGTTCTTCTCAATATTTATAAGATGCAAATAGTTAATCTATGCGCGAGACTGTGCCCCGGAAGAGATTTTGTTTTTATACTTATTGTTAGACGTAATGTATTACCTCGGGAGTGAATTCCTTGACTAGGCGATGGCTACTGCCATCTTTCTGATACCTGAAGTCACCTTTCTTGACTCTTGGAGCGATTTCATCTTCATCGAAGTATAAACCTGAAAATACTCAAGCAATGCGCGAAATCTAATATAAATGATTACATAATTCGGTACTTATGGTCAGAAGTATTTCTCATTCGAACACGTATGAGCTAAGGGGAGCTCAGCTCACAAGGGTTGAATATTTACGGGAATGGGTGGTGCAAAAAAGCATAATTTCGCTTCAAAAAGCCTAGACACCGGGAAAATGGGATAGGTTAAGTAGTGCCCAATAAATCAGTCCAAGAACACTTAGCGGAACCTTAAACGGAACTCGAACTTTCGCTTATCTTCAAATCCCACCACAGCCTACTCCTTAGGGGTGGAGCTCAGATCATCATATCTATTTGATGCTTTCTTCATTGTGACGCACGCATTAGTGTGAGGAACCCAAATGATATGTAATAGATAAAGCGCACAATGCTCGAAAAGTTAACAGAGTGTCTTTCCTGCATCTCCCAATGGGTGGAAATTCCATTCTCAGTTGAGCTGCAACTTTGAAGATTTTCTCATAATCTGTGGTTTCCTTCTGATTGCCTTGTCAATTTTCGTTTGAACGGTTTTCCGCCAACTAATCCCTTTTTAGGGGATTTCCCAGTAATCTTAGCGCCCAATTGAGGCAGTCATGTGACTTTCATGTTTCTCCCATAGCAAGTACCGGAAAAGCACCTCATTGAATTACAACGATGAGAATTGTCAATTTTTAAGGACTCCTTTTGAGATTTTACACTGATAAAGAAAAACTTCACTCCTACACTACCCATCTACTCTGTTAGGTATGAAGGGCAACACATTAGTTTTGGAAAAGGCACTTCTAGACTGGCTTTACCTATATGTCCATCATTTCCGACTGGAGTTTTCGCAAGAAGCGTTCCGATTTCGTTCCACTGACAACCAAGTCGCTTACGAATTCGTTCTCGAGTCAGGGAGCCGTTCTTGAAACTGAGGGATAACAACTGATTGATGGAAAATCACTACATCATTTCTAAAACCACTTCAAAATTGTTAGTTGACTTAAAAATATCGTAGCTCGTGGAAAAAGTTTTTTAAAGTTCATGCTGATATTCAGACAGTAAAAGTTTTCAGTTTTGTAACACCTATTTCGACAAATTTTATGGGAAAGGTCCCTTACCATACGAGAGCCATGAATTCATCTTTCTTCCCGAGGAAATGGCTGAAGAAGTGTGCATCCACGCATGGTTTATATTCAGCTGTAGTGAAGAAGACGGTATCACTGGTTCCTAGTGAAATGCCCACATCGCCTTCGGAAAGGTTCAGACCAGCTAGTGAAGCTGCAATTCTTCTCATTCAGTAAGAATAATGAAAAGATAGAAAAATATTAAAATGGAAGAGGCGTAGTAGATACAGTGGCTAAGGAAAACGGTCCTCGGCGTTAAAGCGGCTCCGAGACTAGACCTCACCCTTGCTACCCACACTTGCTGGGTAACTCCAACCTAGCGGGCACTCCTGTTGGGTAGGAACCAAAAGTACTATAAGTTTATTTTGTATACCGCATATCACTGTCGCTAGCTTAAAAGGAGCTAGCAGGAAGTGACTTGTGACACTATCTATACTCAGAACCAGTGGTTCAAATCATAATCAGAACACCCCGAGCCTCTCAACGTTATAATAATAGAGTCGGGAATTAGGTATCGCCCCATTCACTTTGCTTGGTATTACAAAAACCGGACCTAAAGCCCCGCACCAGACATGAAAAACGAGTAACCAACCAGGATTGTCGCCTAAAAATGGAAGAACCAAGCATTTGCTGTTGAAGCCGTATCTCTCAACCATGTATTTCGATACTGGGCCCTAAATCAAATTATTAATTCAAACTACAGTTTTTTCTCACGATTACAACTTGAGGTATTGATTTTCAGAGTTAACTTCTTTTGGAAGATGTTTTCATTAATAATCAGACTTTTTTAGTTTTCTTCTCAAAGGGGCGAGTGAAGAAACCAACTTCATTCGTAACTTAAAAATTGACTGCTGTTTTTGCGATTTAAAGGCGTAAACTCCTAAAGTGTTTCTGCCGTAAGGTAGAGTTGGTAATTTAGTGAAAGAAATCCATTACCAACGGTTTGGAAGGATCAGCAAGTGATCCGAGCTTTGCTCGTAAGTGCGTTCGGTTTTCATTGCCACCATCAACAGCTGCTAAGCAACTTTCGTCCCAGTTTTGGCTCTGAAAACACATAAAATCATCTGTCTTTCACTTTGGCCTACCCACAACTAATGATCTTTGAATCTGACTAGATTGGATGGAACCTGAGTAAAAGTACGAGTCCGATCCCTGCCGAGGTAAAACCAAGCCCTGCAAAATATGGTGTCGTTACCAGCGTCAGGGCGAGGCGATGGAGAACTCTCGTCGCAACAAAAGTGGTTTTAGTTACAAGAGGAAGGAAGCATCTCAAATGTGTGGAATAGCAGTATTATCGTACCAATCTTCAGCAGAAAGGAGATGCGATGGAATATTCCAGCTATGGCGGGACTAGGTCGACTGCGCATACCATGAGGCTATACGAGAGGCTAGTCGACTCAAGACTGAGGGAACTGGTCTAGACTTTACAGGAGTAGTTCGGCTTCATTCCCCAAGAGCCTATAACGCATGCCATTTTATAGCTAGACAAGTAATGGGGAAATATCGGGTCAAGCGTAGACCCTACAACCTTGCCTTTCTCTATCTGGGAAAGGAGAAAGGCTTTCGGGGTTATAGTCGTCGTTAGATGTCTGGTTTCTTGACCAGTAACCGCATTAGAAAACGGACAATTTTCGCTATGGAGCTCTATGGGTGGACGGAGAACGAATCGTCCATCAGGAGGAAGGCTATCTCAATCTTTCACTGTTTTCAATACTTTGCTATCGTAAAGGATAATTACCTGTATGTTCATAAGATTCATGCCGCTGCCGTCTGTGTAATCGATAGGAGCGATTTTTCCGAGAAACAGTGAGCAGACGAACGAAGAAACCACTGATATTCGCTGGAATTCGATAGAATTCATACAGAAAAACCCAGAGGCACGCCAAGGCATTCTACGAAGCGGAACCGCCCGAGTCTTAGCTTCTTTCTGAATAAAAAGTGGGTTTCCAATCGGGTCCAAAAAAGGGGTTGCACGGACGCAAAAAATGCAAAAAACTCATAAGTATTGAACACATTTAAGAGTTTTTCGCATTTTTTGCTTATCTACTATCTCCTTTGAATGCTGTATATGGTGAAGTTCGTAGTGGTCTTCTATCCCCATATAAATTTGTTTGATGGAAGACTGAAATCAGTTGGAGCGAATATGAGGTAGGTACCTCGCAGTCGTCCCATGCTTGGTTGTTTGTCTCCATTACTTTCTTGATTTGAGGTCCGCTAAATCGATGATGGGCTCGTGAACCTGTGATGCGTGCCATATTCTGAACAGCTGCCTTTACTGTCTGTACCCTATTCCATTATGATTATTTAACTGCACCTCTTTGCCCTTAACTGCTTTTTCCATGGCTACACATTGCTTTTCTGTCGACGAGTCCATCCATATGGGGCTAAGCGGTAAGGCGAACGAGCACTGAAAACCAATCAAAGACCATACCCTACGCACCTTTCTCAATAGGAGCTTAAAGGCACTGTTCGCGATAATTTAATGGGCGGGTGTGTCAGACTGTCTGACGTGACATCGAATGAGAGGCGGACACGTCATCGACTCACCCGCCCACTGAATCATCGCGAACAGTGCCTTTAAAATATATTCAAGGAGGAAAACATTGAA